GATTCTTTAAACACTTGGCATTACAGAGTCCTTTAGAACTTCGATGCAGGAGAGAACGATGATTACCAAAACTAGTCTCTGCAACATTCTTGGTTCCCAGCAAACAGTTTTAAAGCACTTTAAAAATAACATACTAACACACGTGTCTTTTTCATAACTGAATAAAATATGTATTTTTAACAAGGATTTCCCCTTAATGTGCTTGTCACTCTTCAGGCTGCAACAAAAGGTTCGGCTTCATTTTTCTCCCGTATAAAAGGAACAGGCAAGCAAAACACAACACTAGGAGGAATGTGGAACAGAGAAACCAAAACGATCGGGGGCCTCGCTTCAGTAGCACTGCTTTGAATGCAAAAGGTCCCCGGTTCTGCTCTTGGCATCCCTAGGCAGGGCTGGGAACATCCCCAGTCCGGAATCTTGGAGAACCACTACCAGCCAGTGTAGACAAGACTGAGCCAGCAGGGCCAATGGTCTGACTCAATAGGAGGTGTCTGCCTGTGTCCCTACATTAAGAGTTGGCTAAGCTCATTTATGGGACGCGGGTGGCGCTGTGGGTTAAACCACAGAGCCTAGGACTTGCCGATCAGAAGGTCAGCGGTTCGAATCCCCACGACAGGGTGAGCTCCCATTGCTCGATCCCTGCTCCTGCCAACCTAGCAGTTTGAAAGCACATCAAAGTGCAAGTCGATAAATAGGTACCGCTCCGGCGGGAAGGTAAACGGCATTTCCGTGCGCTGCTCTGGTTTGCCAGAAGCGGCTTAGTCATGCTGGCCACATGACCCGGAAGCTGTACCCCGGCTCCCTCGGCCAATAAAGCGAGATGAGCGCCGCAACCCCAGAGTCGGTCACGACTGGACCTAATGGTCAGGGGTCCCTTTACCTTTACCTTTAAGCTCATTTTGCTTGTGAAAAAGCCATGTTGTATTACAGAAGAGCCGTAACTCAGGAGCACAGTATCTGCTTTGCATGCAGAAGGTACCATGCAAAACCTCCCTGCTTGCCAGCTGCTGCCAGTCCGTGTTGGCATTATTGAGCACACTCCGCGGACTGGATTGGGAAGGCGATTGGGCTGCATCCGGCCCCCGGGCCTTAGGTTGCCTACCCATGCCATAATATCACAGAATGATCACTTCACTTTTTAAAAATGTGTTTATTTTTTATTTCAAAGGACTTTAAACTAGCGCAATCGGACTTCTCCCCTCCTGCGCCTCCCCCCAATCTCAAAGGGGAGCTACAGTGGTACCTCAGGTTACATACGCTTCAGGTTACAGACTCCGCTAACGCAGAAATAGTACCTCGGGTTAAGAACTTTGCTTCAGGATGAGAACAGAAATCGCACGGTGGCAGCGGGAGGCCCCATTAGCTAAAGTGGTGCTTCAGGTTAAGAAGAGTTTCAGGTTAAGTATGAACCTCCGGAACGAATTAAGTACTTAACCCGAGGTACCACTGTATTTCCATCAGGGAAACATGAATGCATGCACTGACAAAGCAATGTCCTTGGTGCTATGTTGAATTTCACCTGCAACTGAATGTTTTAAACCAACGGCCCATGCAGCTGAACCCGTTGCATCGGCTATCACCTACCTTCACCCAAAACCATTAAGTTCACAATTGCTTTCAACGTTTTCACAGTATGGCAAAAAAATTCTGAATGGTAATCGCTGGGAATTAAACTGTGTCCTAAAGGTAAAGGTAAAGGTACCCCTGCCCGTATGGGTCAGTCTTGACAGACTCTAGGGTTGTGCGCCCATCTCACTCAAGAGGCCGGGGGCCAGTGCTGTCCGGAGACACTTCCGGGTCACGTGGCTAGCGTGACATTGCTGCTCTGGCGAGCCAGAGCCGCACACGGAAACGCCGTTTACCTTCCCACTAGTAAGCGGTCCCTATTTATCTACTTGCACCCGGGGGTGCTTTTGAACTGCTAGGTTGGCAGGCGCTGGGACCGAACAACAGGAGCGCACCCCGCCGCGGGGATTCGAACCACCGACCTTTCGATCGGCAAGCCCTAGGCGCTGAGGCTTTTACCCACAGCGCCACCCGCGTCCCAAAAACTGTGTCCTACCCCACTGCAAAACAGTCCAGGCTCTCCCCTTCTTTTCTGTTATACTAGGAGAATCCCTGCTACAGGCCTGTGTGAGGAGCCCTGCCAGGGACTTGTAAATAGCCCCGTTTAATAAACTGTTACACAACCAACACCACCCGCGAAGCTTGAATTGAGTAGCCAAGGTTCAACACACAACAGAAAGACATTGTTAGTGTTTGTTTATGGAACACATTGGGGGGGAAGCTCTGGCTTGGAGTCAGAAAAACCTAAAGCTGGCATTGTTTTATATATCTGCATTGATCAGATGGTTGCAAATAAAAGCTGTGGCAATTCTTCTCCACCTGCCCTGAGGCATTAGGGATGACTGTGCACAAAACCTGAATTACAAATACCCCATTGTTCTTTTCCCAGATCCAATGGGAAGGGAAACCGATAAAATCAGTTCCGCTTTTCAGCTGTGTTTTTGCTATCTCCAGAAATATCTCCGGGGAACCTTTATAGGCCGCTCCTTAGGAAGTGATTTTAACCAAGCAGTTGGTGGTATTAATCAACCAGCAAGCCGACCCAATGCGTGTTTCAGCAAGTGTTAGGGTCTGATGGGAGGAACTTGAGACATATGAGGGTGCCTCAGAAAAAAACAGTTCAAGGTTCATCAAAGATGTCATGGATTTACGACACAAGGTCTTGCAGAGCTCCCCAATAGCATTTAGGGGATTGCAGCCGAAGTCTGTAGCCCTGAGGATCCTGTGCTCCACAATATGCTGTTAGACTACAACTCCCATCATCCGACCGCTGTCCGCGCTGATGGGAGTTGGGAGCCCGATAACCTCTTTAGAGCTATAGATTCCCCATCCTTGCCATAGGCCTTAATGAACTTAATGGGGCTCACTCCTGAGCTAATATACATGTTGTTGTTTAGTCGTTTAGTCGTGTCCGACTCTTCGTGACCCCCTGGACCAGAGCACGCCAGGCACTCCTGTCTTCCACTGCCTCCCAGTTTGGTCAAACTCATGCTGGTACGTTCGAGAACACTATCCAACCATCTCGTCCTCTGTCGTCCCCTTCTCCTTGTGCCCTCCATCTTTCCCAACATCAGGGTCTTTTCCAGGGAGTGTTCTCTTCTCATGAGTTGGCAAAAGTCCTGGAGTATCAGCTTCAGGATCTGTCCTTCCAGTGAGCACTCAGGGCTGATTTCCTTCAGAATGGAGAGGTTTGATCTTCTTGCAGTCCATGGGATTCTCAAGAGTCGCCTCCAGCACCATAATTCAAAAGCATCGATTCTTCGATGATCAGCCTTCTTTATGGTCCAGCTCTCACTTCCATACATCACTACTGGGGAAAACCATAGCTTTAACTGTATGAACCTTGATGCTGTCTATAATATAATATACATAGAAGTTGGCTTCTCTGGATCTCTGCTACTCCAGCCCAGCCGAGATACTTTTCAGCTGAAATGGGATTTGCCAGTGAAATATATGATCTGCTACTGAGCTACGCATGGGCGGTTAACTCAGAAGCACAGCATCGGTTTTGCACACAAACAGCCCCAAATTCAATCTCTGGCATCTCCACTTAAGGCTGTGTGAATGTCATGGAATCATAGAATTGCAGAGTTGAAAGGGACCCTGAGGAACATCTAGTCTAAGATACCAGACGTCCACGTTTCCCGGGGACAGTCCCCAGATTTACAAATCAGTCCCCTGACAAAATCCATCCATTCTGACTGAAGTTGAAAAGTGTCCCCGGACTCATTGAAAAAAACCTGGTAACCTTAATCTAGTTCAACCTCCCTGCAATGCAGCTGTCCCATATGGGGATTCAACCTGGAACCTTGGCATCATCAGAACCATGCTCTAACCAACTGAGCTATCCCAGCTGACTCCCTGGTCCTGAATGGGGTAACTGCGCCCCTGAAGAACCAGGTGCACAGCCTGGGAGTCATTCTGGACTCACAGCAGTCCATGGAGGTGCAGGTTAATTCTATGTCCAGGGCGGCTGTCTACCAGCTCCACCTGGTACGCAGGCTGAGACCCTACCTGCCTGCGGACTGTCTTGCCAGAGTGGTGCATGCTCTGGTTATCTCCTGCTTGGACTACTGCAATGCGCTCTCTGTGGGGCTACCTTTGAAGGTGACCTGGAAACTACAACTAATCCAGAATGCGGCAGCTAGACTGGTGACTGAGAGTGGCCGCCAGGACCACATAACACCAGTTCTGAGAGATCTGCATTGGCTCCCAGTACGTTTCCGAGCACAATTCACAGTGTTGGTGCTGACCTTTAAAGCCCTAAACGGCCTCAGTCCTGTATACCTGAAGGAGCGTCTCCACCCTCCATCGTTCAGCCCGGACACTGAGATCCAGCGCCGAGGGCCTTCTGGCGGTTACCTCATTGTGAGAAGTGAGGTTATAGGGAACCAGACAGAGGGCCTTCTCGGTAGTGGCACCCACCCTCCCTTCAGATGTGAAGGAAATAAGCAGCTATCTTATCTTTAAAAGACATCTGAAGGCAGCCCTGTTTAGGGAAGTTTTTAATATTTAATGCTGTATTGTTTTTAACACTTGATTGGAAGCCGCCCAGAGTGGCTGGAGAAACTCAGCCAGATGGCCGGGGTATAAATAAAAAATTCTTCTTCTCTCTCTCTTCTCTCTCTTCTTCTTCTTCTTCTTCTTCTTCTTCTTCTTCCCCTTGCATGAAACCTTGGAGAGGCGCTGCCAGTCTGTGCAGAATAGACAATACTGAGCTAGATGGACCAAGAGCCTTACTCAGTTCAAGGAAGTTTCCTACGGCTCCTCTTCTCCCCAGACCCCATTCATGCTCTAGATTGCCCTGAGCATCACTGATTGCAGCTGGTTCTATTGCAAAATTCAGAGCTGTTTTTAAAGAGCTGTTTAGAACAACTCACACATTTTAGAAATCAGAAACAGCTAACGATCGAAGAACTTGATGCATGCGGAGATGACGCTAAAATACTTGGCTTTTTATTGTTTCCTAGACTCGGACCAGGGAAGCTAAAAAAAACCATACAGGACCGAAAAAGGCACTGTGCATTACAACATGAATGGATACCGCCCTCTGGTGACCATGCAAGGAGTAGCTCACTTCCTCCTTTCAAAATGCAAAGCAACCCAGTTTGCAAAGGTGATTCAGAGCACCCCTTCCAGCTTACAGTCAGGCAGCTGCAGGTGCAATTGCTGGGGTTTCCTGTGCGGTGCCTTGTGATAAGATCTTATCAGAAATACATCTCACCTGTGCCTTTCTGGGAAGATGGTGCAAACATCCCGGTTTTTGAAATCATAGGCTTATAGGGTTAGCTGGAGAAATAAATCACGTCCGCTCTCTATCCGGTTGCAATGCAGCAGCCAGGAAGATCACGACTCTTGGTGAGAAATTGTTGTCAGCAAAACTCCTCTGCGATTCATCCAAGATCTAATAAAGATCAAGGCGAGGGGAATGGGGAGTCAGGGGCTCCTCAAAACGCCTCCCAAAAGAAAAGACCCATTTGCAAAGTATTTCTGGAGCTATTCTCTTTTTTTTGCTGAGAAGCTCCTTGCTGAAAATGCAAACCTGGTAGCCATTTGTCGTCGTCTTTTTGATCCAGGTCCTGTTCCCCCAGGAATGCCTTTCTTCTGAGCTTCTCCAACCACCCTCCCCTCTAGTCTGGCTCCCAAGGCCCTGCCTCCACTCCTATCACTCCTGTCTGCAGGTCCTGCAGGCTAGGAATGATGGGAGCTGTAGTCCAGCAACTTCTGGAGGGCACTAGGTTGGGGAAGCCCAGGCCACACACCCCTCTCCCCCTTCCAATAATTGCCTATTGATAACCTACTATTCATCCAAGACTGGCTTCCAAAACCCGCACGAATGTGGCAGTATAATTCGGGATATAACTTTGGGACATGTGTGTAGGGGGTCTTCTGATCCACAGCAACTGGAGGTCTCAGCTCTTCTCCTCCATGGTGGAAGACAGGAGGGCCTGCAGACTCGGAACTGGCTAGTAGCAAAGATGCCAACACATAAAACAGGGGAAGGGGCACCTGTGGCCCTTGAGCTGTTGACAGACTACAACTCCCATCGGCCATGCCAACAGGGGCTGATGGGAGTTGTAGTCCGACAACGTCTTGGAAGGCTACAGGTCCCCCATCATCTGAATCAGATCTAACTAGCTAATATAGACAACAGTTCTTTAAAAGGTTCCACAGTGTTGAGTGAGTGGGACTTGGCATGCCGTTCAGAAAGCGGCTAAGGCTAGTGGCATGCTTTGCACAGGCGGCCTTGGGTTCGATTCCTGGCATCTCCAGTTAAAACAACAACAACACTCAAGGAGGAGAGTCAGAAGAAGAAAGAGGCTGCCTGTGAGAGTACTGGCTGAATGGCCTGGCTCAGTGTCAAGGCAGTTCTTTATATCCCTATATCTACATAGCAGCGAAAGAAGCCTGAATTAAAATCCACTTTGTTTTGATATTGCAACGAGCATCACTTTCCTGTTTGGTATTGCACTTTTACAGATTAACAGATCAATGTGTATCAGACAGACCGTCATTTTCAAAGGCGGACCTGTTGCAGAATCAAGGGATCGCATTTAACAAGATGATAGTCCCTAGGATTTTCAGAGAGAGAAGGCACCAGCTACGATGATCTCAATCGATTTGGCTCTTAAGAGAGGATGGGCATCCCATGGGAGGTTTCCGTTCAGGAATGCGACCAGGCCGGCTTGCGTTTGGAGACGAAGGCCTTGATGCCCTCCTGTCCATCCTGCAGGGCCAGGTTCTCCACCATGACCCGGGAGGCCGTTCTGTAGGCAGTGCCGACGTCCTGCTCCATCTGTTTGTAAAAAGTGGCTTTGCCCAGAGCTACGACAGGCCGGCTGCTCTCGCATATCCTGCGGGCGATTCTCAGGGTCTCGTCTTCCAGCTTGTCTTCTGGGACCACCCTGCTGATGAGCCCATGCAGAAGCGCCTCCTGAGCAGTCATGGGTTCTCCCGTCAACAGCATCTCCATCGCAACCTGGAAAGAATTGTTGAAAAACAAATAAATTAAGGGCCACGCAGGCAGAGCAGCGAATGCAAAATGTACAATGGGCCAGATTCTGCTCGCTCATCCCTCTCTAGTCTTCATCCAGGCAAGCAAGAATCATGATCAGACCTCAAGGTCGCAGAGTTTCCCAAGCTTCGGTCGCCAGCTGGTTTTTTTGGACTACAATTCCCATCGTCCCTGACCACTGGCCCTGTTAGCTAGGGATGATGGGAGTTGTAGTAGGGTTTTTTCCTGAACCCCCTGGCTGTGTTCTTCTGTTGGAGGACAGAGTGGTGTATAGGGATGGAGAAATCTATCTACTTTGGTTTCTCTAAGTTTCTCATTGTTCCAGTTTTAAGTACAGTTCTCCACATTAGCTCACAATTTTCTTTTGAAGTCCTCATGAAAATTCACCAGCATTTTAATGCAAATTTCTCCAAATAAGCATGTTTGTTTGTGGTTTTGCCTAATATATGCATTTTTTTTGCAAATCCATTTCCCCTAATGTAATGCACCTTTGTATGTTACTTTCCGTAATGCATGCACATAAGTCTATTTTGGCTCAACTGGAGAAGACAAAAAAAGATGTTTCAACTGTCCAAAAACAACCGGAGACCCAAGTGTAGGAAGCTCTCTTCTAGTCCGTCAAAAGAAATTGAGGGAAGGTGTGAAGCAAGGCCAGTTAAGAGAGTGGCTGGGGGGGGGGGAGAGTGATGAGGCCAGGCAGAGAAGTTTGGAGGGCTACATTTGGACCTCAAGTCAGATATTCCCCATTCCTGTACTAGGAAGATCATAGTATCTGGTTGGGGGCCTTTGTACATGCATGTTGGGAAATCCCATGGAATGAAAAAAGAGGAATGAGCCCCACATGGATGACTGGCCTATGGAGACCAAGTCGCTGTGCACATACTGACAGACCACAGGCAAATTCTTACCGTTTAATAATCAGTGGGGCGAGCCCAAAACTTTGCTGCCCAAGGCAGAACAGCAAATGTCTCCCTCCCACCTTGTTCGACCGACGGCTGACCAAGTTATTTTAGTGCACGAGGCAGAACGTCCCACAAGCGTGCCTCTCCTTGGGAGTCAAAATGCACAGGATAAATAAATGAAAACTGCTGCCGTTCTCAAGACACCTTAAATCAGCTGCCTGAGGCAACAGCCTCACTCTGCCTAATGCTTTGGCCGGCCCTGACGATGGCATGCCCACAGTTCTGAAGCCCCTGTAGTTCAGGCGCCTACATGACCATGGTGTCTGGGGACTATCTGCTTGCAGCAAGTACAGCAAGTAAACCAAGTACGACAACAAAACCCTTGTTTTGAAGAGGCCCACCTTTCTCGGGAGAGATCTCCCCACGGCCACTCCAGGCGTCGAGCAGAACAGGCCGACATTCACTCCTGGTGTGGCGAACCTGGATTTCTCGCTGGCCACAGCAACATCGCAGCTGGCCACCAACTGGCAGCCGGCGGCCGTGGCCAAGCCGTTGACTTTGGCGATTACAGGAACAGGTAGCTTGGGGAGCAATGTCATGACCTGTAAGCAAGCAGTTTTTTTAAGTGCCGGTGCTGACCTATAAAGCCTTATAGGGCTCAGGACCACAACACCTTAAGGACCGCCTCTCCCCATATGAACCGACCCAAACCCTGCATCTCAGGCCCTCCTCTGTGCCCCCATTCCCAGAGAAGTTTGGAGAGTGGCAACGCGAGCAAGGGCCTTTTCTGTGGTGGCTCCCCATTTGTAGAATGTTCTGCCCAGAGAGGCTCACCAGGAACCACCATTGCATGTCTTTAGGCAGGCCTTCAGCCATTATTAGACAATCCGGGGCCTTTTAAATGGGGGGGGGGAACGACTATTATTATGTGATTGTTTTATTGCCCTTACAGTGGTGCCTCGCAAGACGAAATTAATTTGTTCCGCGAGTTTTGTCGTCTTGCGATTTTTTTCGTCTTGCGAAGCACGGTGTCGGGAAAGTTTTGGAAAAGCTTCAAAAATCACCAAAGTCTTCAAAAACCTCAAAAAAGGCTACCTCACCGCGTGCTATGAGTTGCTCCTCGAAGTCAAGTCGCAACTGTATTAACGGTGTTAAGAAAAAGGAAACAAACTTGCAAGATGTTTCCGTCTTGCGAAGCAAGCCCATAGGGAAAATCGTCCTGCGAAGCAGCTCAAAAAACAAAAAACCCTTTCGTCTAGCGAGTTTTCCGTCTTGCGAGGCATTCGTCTTGCGAGGTACCACTGTATTATTATGCTATGTGAATTATTTTGTAAATGTTGTGCACTGCCCTGGGATCTTTGGATAAAGGGTGGTATATAAATCTTATTCTTATCATTATTATTGAGGGAAAGTGTCACCCGTATTCTTCTAACGACAAGATCCTTTATGACTTTCGTTAAGGCAGATGAATGCATTTAATAATACAACACCTATGCATTGCTAGTCAAATACAGAAAACCTCTCAGATCTATGGCCCCTAACCCCTCTCAAAATTACGCTCAGACCATCCTGTTCCAAGTTAACAGTCCTCCAATTCTATTCAAGGGGCAGGTCTTAGCAGCTGGGTCTTCTAGGTATCAAGGTAACTGGCTACTCAGTTCCTTACGCTTGCTAACACTCGGCCAGATGTTATTCCTTTGATTCTATCTCCTGAAGAAACATCAAGCAATGCTTTATTGTTTGTGTTGGTTTTTTTTTTTTTTGAGAAATCCATCCAGTTAAAATTTTGTGGCATGATGGGAAGCCGATGAACTGCACCCAGGCAGGCGAGCTCTTTAACAGTGGCAGCATCAATGTGAACTATCTCACCTCAGAGCAGGTCTCAAAGACTTCTCTGTGGTGCTTCTCCCCCTTCTCAAACGCCAGTTCCTTCAAGTCGTGCCCAGAGGAGAAAATGGGACCTTCTCCTGGGTGGGGGAAGGCATGTGAAAGGAAGCAAGAGAATTTTATGTGCATCTTGTACCCCTGACATGACCAAATCCTTGCCCAGAGAACGACAGGCCGACACACACATTACTGCAGAGATGGGGAACCTGCTGTCCTCCATTTCCTGTTTGTTCAACATCTCTTACACACACACCCTGATAAAACATGCCCACAGTTTACTAGATGCCAGGACCAGACACACATCTACCCTCCCATTCTGAGGAGGAAAGCCCTGTTCATTTTGTGGAGGTCTGCCTCTTTTGTTCTTTTAGATGTGGCAGCCATTTTGTGTTACGCCACACACCCCACCTTCAAGCAGCCGCCATTTTGCAGTCTGGTGCCCACGGCACTTTCTCAAAATCCCAAATGTTCCCACTGGGCCTCCAAAGACTGACCCCACCCCCTCACCTTGAAGTAGCGCAAGAACTTCTGGTAGAAAAGCAAGATGGAAATGTAGCTGAATAAAGAAATTGTAAGGGTGCTTTAAAAGCAGAAAGGAGAGAAAAGGTGTCCGAAGAAAGGAAAGAAATTAAATATGATCTGATAGTGAAGAGATGTAGGAGAGGGTGGAATCTGGGGGTGAATAGATGGAGGTGTCAGAGATGGAGTGAAGACAAGTCTCTTCTTAGTCAAAAGACTGTTCAAGGATGACAAGGTGGCACAAATTCTTTGAATGGTTTTGTAAGATCAATTTCCCCACCCTATTATTATTATTATTATCATCATCACTATTACTATTATTATCTATTAAATTTCTCTACTACCCTCCATCCAAGGCTCACAGAGCGGTTTACAATATATAAACCCAAAGTTACATACCTACCCTCATAGGTTTGATGAGCAAAATACCTGAAATTATAATGACTCTCAGATCGGTGCTTTCAATATCATGCAGAATATCCTCACGGAGGGAGCTTATCATGGAGAGCGAAAGTGCATTTCTCTTGAGAGGATTGTTCAAAACAATGTTCCTGTGAAATATAATTTTTATGAGAGACGCTTTCATACGCAGCTGTCTGCACCATGTTAAGATTTGTGGGTAACAAAGGATTGGGTTGTATCAATGTGCATGTAAACTCTCCGGTAAAAATATGATTCATATTACATCATGAAACAGTGGGCATGCATTCACACTAAACCATGGTTTGCTTCTAACTGTGGTTTAATGTGATTTGGCAGCTAGACTGGAAGTTGCGTTGCAGGATTTCAGAGAGCGAAATTTACAGTCCAACCTGGAGATGGTAGGAAGCAAACCAGTGACCTTCTGCAACCCATGGACCAAAAATGTAGCTCTCTAGCTTAGCATCCAGAGACATCAAATTTGCATCCCATAAATATATGTTAACTAGCTCACATGGTTGCGAAGAAAGTTATTTTTTCCTCTCCACCAGATAAAAAATGCCTAACGAACAAGCAGAGTTGCCAACAGCGACAAAGCAAAAGAACATTAAGTATACCAATTGCGGTTATTTAATTTCCAATAATTCATAGTTAGACATTGTCTTATTACACCAATATAAACTCTTATGTTAGTTAATTCTACTCTGTCACTTCTCATATTCTTACTATCTAGTCTTCAAATGTAGGGATAAAAAGAGTGTTTTAAAAATTATATGAGTACCTTGGTTCTCAAGCACCTTGGTACTCAAACAACTTGGAACCCAAAACACTGCAAACTGTAAGTGTTCAAGTACGGTAATTTATTTCTTGCTTGCAGAACTTGGGAGCTTTGTAAAGCCTAGAGCCTCCCAGGTTGCAGCACAAAAGGAAGCAGGCCTACGTTTTTGGTTCAGCTCCAGTTTCGGTTCAGCTCCAGTTTTGGGCAACAGGGTTTTCAAAGTCCACCATTAAGCGCCACCTTTGCCCCTTGCCCCAGTTCAGCTCACACATATGTTCTGTAAACTACAGTACAATGCTCAGCGGCAAAGCATTTTCATTGCGTGCAGAAGGCCTCAGGCACAGTCAACATCGTCTGCAGGACAGAGCACATTTGCCTAGCAGCAGGAACAACAGAATTTTGAAGTCAGGAGAGGTCCCCAAAGGTCATCCAGACAAACCCCCGCTCACTGCAGGATCTTGCCCGTTCTCTATGCTCATGTTTAAAAGAGATGAAGCAGAACCCTCAAAAAAGTCATTCGCGCAGCATGAGGGGAACATGTTCCAGATGTTGTTGGAACCCAACTCTCACCAGCTTCAGCCAGCATGACCAATGGTCAGGGATGGCAGGAGTTTGCTCCCCCTTTAAACCTAGAGGAGGGTCAGTTTCTTCACCCCCTCCCTAAGCAATTCCCCTGTCCAAAAAAATGCCACCCACTCTCTTTCCAGATGACATAAAAGCTCAAGTGATGTGTTATGTGTTTTTTGTGGTTGTTGTTATTATTGAAAAAATGATTAAATTAAAAAAAAAAAGCTCAAGCGACTTGAAAGGGACTAGAAACTTGACCCTGGCAAAGGGATGAGCAGTTGGTGGGGAGGCAGGCAGGCAAACCTCCCCAACCCAAATTCTTTGGGTCCGTTTGTGCATCGCAGGCAGTGCGGTGCAGTGGTTAGAGCGTCGGACTAGGACGTGGGAGACCAGGGTTCAAATCCCTAACCAACCTCACGGGGTGGTTGTGAGGATGAAATGGAGAATGGTGCACGGGGTGAGAGCCGTGCATGCCAACCTCCTGGAGCCTTTTGGAGGGGAAAGCGGAACAGAAATTCAAATAAACAAGCCCATTCCTCCTCTGTCGGCCCACCTGATCCCATCCTGCTGCCACGTGCGAGTCAGCCTCGGCTCCGCGGGAACTTGCTGGCAATGCTGCCTCCGCCCGGGCGCGCCGCCGCCGCTTGCAAAGATGCGCTGGGTGCGGAGCAGCGGCCGCGGGAGCTGCGCGGTGCAGAGCCCGGTGCCTCTCGCAAAAGCAGCTGCAGCCATTGCAACCTCCCTCCCTGTCCGGGCCGGGGGCGGAGCAGGAGGAGGAGAGACGGTTCTGCACGCTGCTGACCTCTGCCGGCTGCCAAAGGACAGCCGAAAACTGCTTTTCTTCCCCCCCCCATTTTTTATATAAATATTTAAATCTCTTAAAATACTATACCAATCTTTAACCATTTCAATTAATCCCTTCACCTCCCTCCCCCACAACCCAGTACTTCCCCCCACCCGTGTGCGATCTTCTTTACCTACAATTATTTATGTTTATTTTTTGTTTAGTCGTTTAGTCGTGTCCGACTCTTCGTGATCCCATGGAGCAGAGCACGCCAGGCACTCCTGTCTTCCACTGTCTCCCGCAGTTTGGTCAAACTCATGTTTGTAGCTTCGAGAACACTGTCCAACCATCTCGTCCTCTGTCGTCCCCTTCTCCTTGTGCCCTCCATCTTTCCCAACATCGGGGTCTTTTCCAGGGAGTCTTCTCTTCTCATGAGGTGGCCAAAGTATTGGAGCCTCAGCTTCATGATCTGTCCTTCCAGTGAGCACTCAGGGCTGATTTCCTTAAGAATGGAGAGGTTTGATCTTCTTGCAGTCCATGGGACTCTCAACAGTCTCCTCCAGCACCATAATTCAAAAGCATCCATTCTTCGGCGATCAGCCTTCTTTGTGGTCCAGCTCTCACGTCCATACATCACTACTGGAAAAACCATAGCTTTAACTACACGGACCTTTGTTGGTAAGGGGATGTCTCTGCTTTTAATGATCCTGTCTAGGTTCGCCATCGCCTTTCTCCCAAGGAGCAGGCGTCTTTTAATTTCGTGACTGCTGTCATTATTTTTGTTATTGTTGCGTTATTCACTTTATTTGTTAGTCCATCCTTGATATATTATCCTACCTCCTTGCGCCTTTTAAAATTTTGCATATTAATTTTTAAACTCCAGCCCCGACTTTTTTCATGTATTCCTTTTCACATTCCCGCTCTTTATTAATTTTTTTATTAGAGTAACCTCTAATTGATGCTGTTGATTTTGCCATCTCCCCGGATTCAAGAAATTTGGCTCTCCATTCTAATAATTCTGGTATTTTATCAGTTTTCCAATTTTATGCCACTACAATTCTGGCTGTCGCGGTTGCATAAAGGAATACAATCCTTTTATCCTTAGGGATGTCACTCGATACCAAACCCAGCAAAAATGCCTCTGGTTTTTTAAAGACTGAATTCCTAAATATCTTTTTAAGCTCTTCATGTATCATGTATCATAACCCAGAACTGCTTTTCTACTACTGTAGTGGAAGCAAAGTTCTTAACCCGAGGTAATATTTCTGGGTTAGCGGAGTCTGTAACCTGAAGCGTATGTAACCTGAAGTGTATGTAACCCAAGGTACCACTGTAAATACATACGGAGCACTGCAACATGGCTCCCTCTCTCTCTAGCATCAGACAGCAAAGAGAAAGAACAAATGACAATAGTCTCACTTCATGGAACACAGTAACACAAACATCCTGTGGGCTTATCCACACTTAGAATCATAGAGGAAGGGGTCCCCAAGGGTCATCTAGTCCAACCCCCTGCAATGCAGGAATCTCAGCTAAAGCATCCAGGACAGATGGGCCACCCAACCTCTGCTTGAAAGCCTCCAAGCAAGGAGAGCCCATCACCTCTTGTGGGAGTCTGCTCCACTGTCGAACAGCTCTTACTGCCAGAAAGTTCTTCCTGGTGTTTATTCGGAATCTCCTTCCTTGTAACTTGAGTCCATTGGTTTGGGTCCTATCCTTCAGAGCAGCAGAAAACAGGCTCCCTCCATCCTCCATGTGACAGCCCCTGAGATATTTGAAGATGGCCCTCATATCTCTTCTCACTCAGCTAAACAGCTGGAAATACAGTAGCACCTTGGTTGTCGAACGCAATTCGTTCCGGAAGACCGTTCGACTTCCGAAATGTTTGACAACCGGGGCGGAAATGGCCACCTGCAATTTCAATTGATAAGCTGTTTGACTTCTGAGGTGCGTTCAAAAATGGAAGGAATTACTTCCGGGGTTTCAGTGTTCGGGTTCTGAAACATTCAGCTTCTGAGATGCTCAAAAACTAAGATTCCAGTATACAGTACAGTGGTACCTCTGGATGCGAACAGGATCCATTCCGGAGCCCTGTTCGCATCCTGAAGTGAGCGGGTGCGCGGTGCGCGGGTCGCAATTCGCTGCTTCCGCGCATGTGTGTGACGTCATTTTTAGCATCTGCGCATGCGCGAGCAGCAAAACCCGGAAGTAACGCATCCCGTTACTTCCGGGTCGCCATGGAGCGTAACCTGAAAACAATCAACCTGAAGCTACTTTAACCCGAGGTATGATTGTACAGTGGTACCTTGGGTTACAGACACTTCAGGTTACATACGCTTCAGGTTACAGACTCCACTAACCCAGAAATATTACCTCGGGTTAAGAACTTTGCTTCAGGATGAGAACAGATATTGTGCTCCGGCGGCGCAGCGGCAGCAGGAAGCCCCATTAGCTAAAGTGGTGCTTCAGGTTAAGAACAGTTTCAGGTTAAGAACGGACCTCCAGAACAAATTAAGTACCGTACTTAACCCGAGGTACCACTGTATAACATTTTAAGTGCGCTTCAAGTGCATTATACAAATGTGACACTAGATGGCATTTCACAGCATTTTTTTACATGTGTCTAGATTCCATCCCTGTCTCCTCTTCTCCAGATCAAACAGATAGGGACGTAGGTGGTGCTGTGGGTTAAACCACAGAGCCTAGGACTTGCCGATCAGAAGGTTGGCGGTTCGAATCCCCGCGACGGGGTGAGATCCCGTTGCTCGGTCCCTGCTCCTGCCAACCTAGCAGTTTGAAAGCACGTCAAAGTGCAAGTAGATAAATAGGTACCACTCTGGTGGGAAGGTAAATGGGATTTCCGTGCGCTGCTCTGGTTCGCCAGAAGCGGCTTAGTCATGCTGGCCCCATGACCCTGAAGCTGTATGCAGGCTCCCTCGGCCAATAAAGCGAGATGAACGCTGCAACCCCAGAGTCGGCCACGACTGGACCTAATGGTCAGGGGTCCCTTTACTAGATTCCATCCCTGTCTCCTCTTTTCCAGATTAAACATGCTCAGTTCCTTTTGCCCCACTCTTTACAAACAGAGGCCTGCACTTTCAAATTCCATCCCCCCCCTTATTTGCACCCACTGGAAATTTCCCTGTGAACTTTTTTCTACCCACTGTCTCCATAACATGCATAATTGCTTGAAATGTTATCCTCACATGGGAAATTTTTCAGATATCGTCATCATTACAATCATCCATATCCTCTAAATTTCTATACTGCCCTTCATCCGAAGATCAAGGGGTGGCTTGCAATATAAAAACACAAAAATACATACTGTAATAAACAAACTAACAAAAAAATCCCCCCCATAGATTGTTCAAATGCCATAGATTGTTTAATTAGCCAAAGGTCTCTGAGAAAAGGCATGTTTTATAGGCAAGAGAAAGAATGAAAACTGTAAACATTTGTGACAAATGTCAGTGAATGCAAAACCTATAGCCAGTCAGAATTCGCTTAAGGATGAAATGCGTGCAAAGGAAGCCAAGCAACCTTTTACAATTGTTGCAATACCATATTAGGTATTAATATATAAATCCAGTTCTACTTAAAGGCAAATATAAACTTACTATACATACTAAATTCCGCACCTAGCTGCTAGAGGGCAGCACTTTCCAATGAAATAATAGCACACTCTCATTTTGTTCTCCTTTTGCAAAGCTACCTGTTTCATCAAATCCCTGCTTCTTCAATTGCTTTCCCTCTCTGCCTTTCCACTGTTCCTTCCCGGCTCAGCTTTGCTCTAGTCCAAGTTGCATTCTCTATTTCACCATTTTACTTCCCAGACCTCGCAAGACTCGAGCTTATAGGGCTGGTCACTTTTCACAGCCACAATTACATTAGAATTTCATAGAATCATAGAATCATAGAGTTGGAATAGACCACAAGGGCCGAGTCCAACCCCCTGCCAAGCAGGAAACACCATCAGAGCACTCCTGACATATGGTTGTCAAGCCTCTGCTTAAAGACCTCCAAAGAAGGAGACTCCACCACACTCCTTGGCAGCAAATTCCACTGTCAAACAGCTCTTACTGTCAGGAAGTTCTTCCTAATGTTTAGGTGGAATCTTCTTTCTTGTAGTTTGGATCCATTGCTCCGTGTCTGCTTCTCTGGAGCAGCAGAAAACAACCTTTCTCCCTCCTCTATATGACATCCTTTTATATATTTGAACATGGCTATCATATCACCCCTTAACCTCCTCTTCTCCAGGCTAAACATGCCCAGCTCCCTTAGCCATTCCTCATAAGGCATCCTTTCCAGGCCTTTCACCATTTTGGTTGCCCTCCTCTGGACATGTTCCAGTTTGTCAGTGTCCTTCTTGAACTGTGGTGCCCAGAACTGGACACAGTACTCCAGGTGAGGTCTGACCAGAGCAGAATACAGTGGCACTATTACTTCCCTTGATCTAGATGCTATACTCCTATTGATGCAGCCCAGAATTGCATTGGCTTTTTTAGCTGCCGCGTCACACTGTTGGCTCATGTCAAGTTTGTGGTCAACCAAGACTCCTAGATCCTTTTCACATGTACTGCTCTCAAGCCAGGTGTCCCCCATCTTGTATTTGTGCCTCTCATTTTTTTTGCCCAAGTGCAATACTTTATATTTCTCCCTGTTAAAGTTCATCTTGTTTGTTTTGGCCCAGTTCTCTAATCTGTCAAGGTCGTTTTGAAGTGTGATCCTGTCCTCTGGGGTGTTAGCCACCCCTCCCAGTTTGGTGTCATCTGCAAATTTGATCAGGATGCCCTTGAGTCCATCATCCAAGTCGTTGATAAAGATGTTGAATAAGACCGGGCCCAAGACAGAACCCTGTGGCACCCCACTAGTCACTCTTTTCCAGGATGAAGAGGAACCATTGATGAGCACCCTTTGGGTTCGGTCAGTCAGTCAGTTACAAATCCACTGAGTGGTAGCATAGTCAAGAC